CAGGAACACAAACCTAGTAAATATAGTAAAATCTTACTTGTATTCACGTCCGCAGCTGCTGCCTCTGCCCCTCATCTGGCTGCTTGACTGACATAATCAGAAGTGATTCTCTGAGCCAACCACAATGCTTTCACATAGGATTAGGTGAGACTGCCAAGGAAGCAGATCAGGGATAGCGTCAGCACAAGCCAAACACAGCCCTGGCCAATCAGCATCTCCTCATATAGATGTATTGAATCAATGCATCTCTATGAGGAAAGTTCAGTGTCTCCATGCAGAGGGTGGAGACACTGAATGGCAGGCAATAAAGAACAGACAGTGTGTAGCACAGCCCCAGGTAGCACCTCTAGTAGTCATCTGATGAGAGGCCAGTGGAGGTATCCCGAGGCTATAATTTAAACACAGCATTTTCTCTGAAAAGACATTGTTTACTGCAAAAAGCCTGAAGGTAATGATTCTACTCACTGGAAGAAATATAATAAGCTGTAATTGTTCTGGTGACTATAATGTCCATTTAATAAATAAAAAAAGCTGTGAAAAATAAAATTAACTGAAGAACTCCACACCTCTTTATCCTTCACCTGGTTGCCTCTGTCTTAGCTTTCTGTCAATCACAGTTATAAGCCAATTTGCACCCGGCTGTCAGAATAGAAAAAGCAGACCGAAGATTGAAATACATTAAAGCGGCACTGTCATGCCGAATCTCGTTTTTTTTTTAACCCCCCTCCCGCCTCCACTACATCCAATTGACCCACTAGTCACCCCCAAATGCCCCTAAGCCCCCCACATTACCTATTATTTAATCCTTATTTTCTGCCCCGATCTATATCCAGGGCGCCGCCATCTTTGTGTGGGTAGATGAAGTCCCTGTGGGACACGTCATCAGCCCACACTAGATAGCCTGTGAGATTCCCGCACATGCCCAGTGAAACACCTGGACATGCGAACGGGAATTTCATCTATTCATTCATTCATCAGACAGACGAATGAGTGAATAGAAAGATCAGCCGAACAAACTAACACTATGTATCAGTGTTAGTTTGTTCGTTCAGTTTATTACAAGGAGGGAGCTACCGGCATGCAGCTCCCTCCTTGTAATATGTAACGATAGAAGCGGCAGGGAGCAGTGCTCCCCACCACTTCATAAACCCCCCCAGGCTCCCCCCCTCACTCTATGGGGGTCAATATGACCCCCATAATAGCACAAGGGACATTAAAATCTCCCAAATGCCCCTACTCGCTATACCGCGAGTAGGGGCATGTCTACTAAACAGTGAGCAGCCTGTGTCATTTTACACAGCATGGGAAAGTTCTTTTGAATTTTCCCACGCTGTGTAAAATGACTCGGAGCACTCTGATTGGCTTAAACCCACCAATCAGAGTGTTCTAAGCCTAACTGCAGGGCGGGGCAAGGCTTTATAAGCCTTGCCCCGCCCTGCGGAGCTCAGTCCGCGGCGTGCCCTCGAAGGGCGAACATGGATAAAAAATTTTTTTTTTTTTTTTTTTTTTTAAAGTGCGACGGGTATAATGGATTTTTATTTGGCCTTTTTGGGGGCTGAAGAAATAAGATTTTAGAAAAAAGAAGACGTCAAATGGTAAGTTTAATTTTTTTTTTACAGGTTAGTTATTTTATTCCCCCCTCACTATTTTTAGGGTGAGGGGGGTAGGTAGGGGATAGGTTTTTTTTGGGTGGTGGGGGGTGACTAGGGGCTTGGGACCCCTAGTCACCTTGATTGGGGGGGTGTTTCATTTAGGGCCCCCACCCACCGCTCAGGGGTGGGGGCGGGAGGACAGTAGGTCCCCCCCCCTTATTGTTTTATTAGGGCCCCCACCCACCGCGCAGGGGTGGGGGCCGGGGGGGACGACAGTAGGTCCCCCCTTATTGTTTTAGTGGGGCCCCCACCCACCGCTCAGGGGTGGGGGCCAGGGGGGGAGGACAGTAGGTTCCCCCCCCTTATTGTTTTATAAGGGCCCCCACCCACCGCGCAGGGGTGGGGGCCAGAAGTTCCCCCCCATATCTTTATTTAGGGCCCCCACCCACCGCTCAGGGGTGGGGGCCAGGGGGGAGGACAGTAGGTCCCCCCTCTTATTGTTTTATTAGGGCCCCCACCCACCGCTCAGGGGTGGGGGCCAGGGGGGGAGGACAGTAGGTCCCCCCCCTTATTATTTTATTAGGGCCCCCACCCACCGCGCAGGGGTGGGGGCCAGGGGGGGGGACAGAAGTTCCCCACCCATATCTATATTTAGGGCCCCCACCCACCGCTCAGGGGTGGGGGACAGGGAGGGACAGTAGGTCCCCCCCCCCTTATTGTTTTGTTAGAGCCCCCACCCACCGTGCAGGGGTGGGGGCCAGGGGGGGGGACAGAAGTTCCCCCCCCATATCTTTATTTAGGGCCCCCACCCACCGCTCAGGGGTGGGGGCCAGGGGGGGACATTACTTATTGACATTTAAAACTTATTGTTTTATTAGGGCCCCCACCCACCGCTCGGGGGGGAGGACAGTAGGTCCCCCCCCCTATTGTTTTATAAGGGCCCCCACCCACCGCTCAGGTGGGGTGGGGGAGGGGGGGAGGACAATAGGTCCGCCCCCCCTTATTGTAATTTATGTCATTTTTTGACAGGCTGCTCACTGTTTAGTAGACATGCCCCTACTCGCGGTATAGCGAGTAGGGGCATTTGGGAGATTTTAATCTCCCTTGTGCTATTATGGGGGTCATATTGACCCCCATAGAGTGAGAGGGGGACCTGGGGGGCTTATGAAGTGGTGGGGAGCACTGCTCCCTGCCGCTTCTATAGTTACATATTACAAGGAGGGAGCTGCACGCCGGTAGCTCCCTCCTTGTAATAAACTGAACGAACAAACTAACACTGATACACAGTGTTTAGTTTGTTCGGCTGATCTTTCTATTCACTCATTCGTCTGTCTGATGAATGAATGAATAGATGAAATTCCCGTTCGCATGTCCAGGTGTTTCACTGGGCATGTGCGGGAATCTCACAGGCTATCTAGTGTGGGCTGATGACGTGTCCCACAGGGACTTCATCTACCCACACAAAGATGGCTGCGCCCTGAATCAAGATCAGGGCAGAAAATAAGGAATACAAAATAGGTAATGTGAGGGGCTTAGGGGCATTTGGGGGTGACTAGTGGGTCAATTGGATGTAGTGGAGGCGGGAGGGGGGTTAATAAAAAAAACGAGATTCAGCATGACCGTGCCGCTTTAAATTCTACGTGCATACTAATGTAATCTTTTATTATATGTATTTATCTATATATATATATTTGCGGTTATTTGTATTTTATATATAGAATGTCATTCTAAGTGTATTTTGTTACCTATATATATATATTAATAACAAAATACAGTTAGAATGAAATTACATATGAATATATAATTTATATAAAATTGTTTCAATATTTTATTAATTTTATTATTGTAATTATACGTGTATATATATATATGTGTGTGTGTGTGTGTGTATATTTCTATTATATATATATATATATATATATATATATATATATATATATATATATATATAGAATATATATACATTTTATATATGTAACGTCATTCTAAGTGTATTTTAATACTAATATATGTACTTATATTAATATTAAAATACACTTTGTATGACGTTACATATATATAATATGTGTATATATATTATTTATACAATATATATACATATATTATATATTTATAAATATATTTATTTTATTTTAAACATGTCTAATTATTTTTTTTTTACTTTCTCACCAGCAGGGGGACTGTCTGACATTTCAGACAGTCCCCCTGCTGGCAGATCCACAGCCAGCTATAGGGGGCCATGTAATCTTTCTTTGAGAGCGATCACATGGCCCCAGGGGGCCTGTTTTGCCGGGGGAGGGCTGCCTGGGCTTTGAGGCAGTCCTCCCGAAGCGGAGCGCCGGGTAGGTAAGTATCCCGGGCGCTCAAGGGCTCAAAGCTGTTACGGCGTTCTATGCTGCCGCAACAGCTTTAAAGCCCACTTATTGCGGGACGGCATAGAACGCCGTAATGGCGTTAAGGGGTTAAAGGTTTTGTTTATGTTTTGTTTTAATCACAACTTGTATAACTGCCTCAGTCCTTAAGGGGTTAAAAGTGTAATGGATGGTCTAAGAACCACTTCTGAGAAAAATGATACAATAAAGGAATAGAACATAAGCACTCTATATGTTGTGTTATAAAACATAATTTCTCCCCACTGAATCTTTTGTTCAAGGCGAGTGATGCCGCTAAAGGAAATTACAAATATCTAAAAATATACACAATATGCAACCCATCAGTACTTGCAGTGAGATTTACAACAAGAACTGAAATGGACCGTCACTGTTTAGAATATGACAGAATGCGGACAATAAAGTAATGAAAAACATTGTAGCAGAGCTCCTATATCCCAGCTGGATAGCTCAGTTAAAATCTCTCTGAGCTGGAAGAAGCACTGGTTGGTGATTACAGCCCCCTTTCCCAGTAATCAGGCAACAAATGATTCTGGAAGTACAACGGGTTTTATTGGAAACAAAGTGGTCTTTTGTACATGCACCCCCAAAATGGGTTCTCCATTCAATACATAGGTGAACCCGCCCTGGTGTCTCTGTGTCTGTGAGAAAATTGTTATCCTTCGCTGAAACTAATTATCTGCCGGATACAGAGAGCCCAACACAAAATACCCCCAAAATAACAATAAAACAGCCACGAAACCCCCACACATTGTACATCCCCGGCAGGTTTGAACTGAGTGCCCGTTGTGGAAAAATAACACCTGGATCCATGGGGAATTGGAAAATTACCATGGGGATTTGACCAGTTGCTATTAAAGTCCTAGCGGTAATGAGTTCCGAAAGAGCCAGAGAGAACCACAAAGACCTGAACTCCGGGTCGGCTGCGGTCACCAACATTGCCCATCCAACTTCAACCCTTGTTTTCACCTACTTCCCATAGGACTAGGAATTGGAGGGGAGGTACAAGAGACTATGCTGAACAATCGCTCCCTTAGAGCCCACAGGAGCTCCCAAAATTTGACCGGCAAAGGACACAAGGAACTCAAGGTCCCATAAAAAGCAGCACCAGTCTCTGTTCTGTCACCCTGTATAAAATCAGCTACTAGGATTTCCCACGCCAGCAAAGTAGAGGCATCCCTTCAGTGCATTTTTTCCCCACTAATTTCTAGATCATAGATCTTAAAATAATCAGAAAAGCATCCATTTCATCTTATTTTATTTCACCCAATACAGCTGATAATGCAACAAAAAATGTCAGCAAGGGGGGCGGGGCCTGACAGCCAAGATGGCCGGTCGCACTTCATGAGAGCTCCAGCACTGGAGAGCAAAACAAGCCAATTTTGACTAAAAGAATCACCACTAGCGGCTCACAGTGCACGGAAATCGACACAGTATCTACCGGGGCACAGGATGATACCCGTCCTAAACAGAAACGCTATGAAACTGCCTGAACCGGCCATGCGGCCTAAACTGGAGCGGAGCCTGAAGTCTGGGGGAGACGGCCGATCACCCGACAGGGGGCACGCACACAAGCGAGAGTCAGAAATAGCCCTGCTACCCCCCCCTTTGGACCGGTGGGGGATATCCCGGTCCTCGCCGGGGACGAACAACCCCACACTAAAGCCTGAAACCCACCAGCTTCAGAGTGCCCCAGGTACTGCAGTTGTAAAAGCACTGAATCAACCCAGGGAGAGCACGGAGCACACAGAAGACTGTCACACAGACTATGCTGATTACACAGCAAGGTTGGATGCAATCTTTACAGCATTCTGGCATAAGCTTGAAAAGCGCATGCAAAAACGCGCAGAAATCAAACACGAAGCCCAGCTCATAAAGCAGCCACGAGGCGGGAGTAAAATGTCCGCTGCTAAACAACCTCAGCGCGCACAGGGCCGACGACACCGTTCACCCCTGCACAACAACCCGCGAACCACAATGACAGCTCGAAGCAGTAAACCTTTTGGGAAGGGAGTCATACAGGGCCATGACTTGACCCACCGTCCACATACCCGGAGGGGCTTCGAGGAAGCAGAGCTCCGGAGGGCACACGGTTCCACCAAGAAAGGTAAAGGGACCCTTGGACACTGGGAAGTGACCCCTGTAACAACCCGAGCTGGAGGCTCTGAGCGGCCCCGTCACCACCACACCAGCCACCCTAGCCACTCACGGGGACACAATCATATATGGAGCCATGATCTAGAAGGCAGCAGACAAGAGGAGATACCCCCAGCATGGCCCGCAAGTGGGGTCGGTTGAACGCCGGCAGGTGCAATCGCTAGCCACGTGAGCAGGGAACAGAGACATTCCACGCAATCTTAAACCAAGATGCTCAGAAAATCTCCCAGCGAGATGTGTACCTATATTTACAATGTGCCTATACTTACAATAAGCCTATAATTATTGTGTGCCTCAAATTCATATATGCATATAACCACTGTATTCCTACCCTTAGTATAATAACATATCCACATATATGCTACCAACCGACCCACAAATGACACACAACCCAGCACAACACAATTCCATGGCAACATAACCCACTATGAAACATATCTATTGCTGTGATGTAAATGCACGTTGTCTTGCCTCTTTGTCACTCCTCTGATCTCTTCTAACGAAGTGTTAAGCACCTCCTCAGGAGCATAATCTTAAGAGCAACAACCTCCATTGTATAAACACCTAGTTTAGCAGGTTAGCAAATTTACTACTTACTTCTACCCCAACCTTACTATTGTTACTCATAATAATGTTATCCAAGCATACTCATCGTAATTTAACTGAAGATGTTCATTTATAATTGACTTTATCACATGCATGTCTAGCGTAGAATGTTTAATACGTCTACTAATGTTACAAAGCTTTTAACATTACAGTTAACCAATAAGCATGTCTAACCTTTAACGAACACTCGACTTATATTAGCCTATTAGAATCATACCAAATAGACAAAGCGGATTATCAATCTTACGTTTAACTATTAATATGCCTAAATACTTTAACATGTTATTTCATATAAGCAATGTTTACTAGCCTGTTATATGCATTTTTAACAAAAAATGTGCAAATGTAAAAAACCACGAACATGTCTGCATGAACCTGCCTGTGTCTGCTGTCGTGGCCACACGGGCCTGCATGTAAAATCTTTTGCACCAAAAATAAAGAATTTAAAAAAAAAAAAAAAATGTCAGCAAGTCATCAAAAAATTATTTATTTATTAAGAGAGGCAGTCTAAGTGCCCAAACTAAGCACCTGTAGTGGTTAGGTGGTACCATTTGGCCGGGGGTGCCAGCCATTGTTTTTGAGCCAAACCATTTTTTCAAGCGGTTTTACCAAATTCTGGAGTCCCCAAGGAGACCACTGATTCCTAATGCAGACTTTCCACTTGCACATCAGTAATAAGAATTTCATCCATACTTGAATAATAAGCTGAGCCTTTCAGAAACTCCCCATTTAGGACAAGCTGCTTGAAATCACTTTTACCCAGAACCAGGAGACAAAGTCTGCAGTCTACTAGCATCATAACCACTACAATATAACGTAGTGGTTATGGTTGTTAGTCTGCCCTTTAACGATGCTTTAATCTTGTTTGTCGATGATTGAATTAAAACCATGCACATTAAGGTGTGGCATTCTAGTTATTGATAAAGATATTTTCAAGTGCAATAAACATTTAACCTCAACTAATCTGGAGTCAAACTATTTCCATTGTGTATTTAGTTTTACTTGAATGGTGTCCTCACTGCAATTTTTTTTATTTCTTAGGTTGTTTTACAAAGTCACGGTCCCAGATTGATTGCCAAACCCCAGCAGATGAATGAGAAAGCATTCCGATGTGACTATGATGGTTGCGGAAAGCTGTACACAACAGCTCATCATCTTAAGGTAATGTGATCTATGAAAGGTCACACAGTAACAGTCAATCAATCAATCAATCACAATTTGCTTCAAGGATCACAAAGCATTATATTACAGCTGTCTGGTCCTGATAGTAAATAGTAATAATGGAATATTCAACATAACTCTTTAAGCGTGATAGATATTGGCAATTTGAGAATGATATTTTACTTATGAAATCTAAAAGGGAATTTTTGGGGTTGGCATTTTGGTTGATAAGTGCCAATGCTTTTGATTTATCTTTTCTGTTTAATGAAGGTTTTGTTAGGATTGCAATCTGCTATATTCTTTTTTTTTTCTCCATGGAGATATTAAAAAGTAATACTGTCCCAATCAGGTGCATGAACGGTCACACACCGGGGACCGGCCTTACCAGTGCGAGCACGGTGGCTGCGGAAAGGCATTTGCAACAGGTAATGCATTCATTCATCATTTATTGGATTTCCAAATTTACAGCTATATGTCGTAGTGAAATGCGTCTTTAAGAGCCATCTCTAACCCATTTTTTGGTATTTGCAAGAAGCCACATATCATGGGTTAGCTTATTCCTGTTAATGCTGATAAACTGAAAATATAATGGACTGTCTGTTATGAGTACTCAGAAATTATTATGGGACATAGAAATGTGGCCCATGGTTACCCATATTTCTTGTCAGGGCTCTGCAAATAGGCATCATAAATCCCAGCTATGTTGTGTCTTTTTATCTGCCATTTCTATTTATATATCTATATTATGTCTTAAACTATCTGTCCTTTACTGTACACCCAGGCTGAAATTACTCTATATTGTTATAGCAATATACAAATACACATTAAAAAATTGTCCATAAATGTAACAGTTAAAATAATTATCTCCAGAATGTGCAACTTCAAACCATGACCTCCGCACTGCCTAGTACATCACTTATAGTCTTCAGACAGTCCAACCCTCCTTTTGTTTCAATGATAGCTGCTCAGCAGGGTGTTATGGTAGATGTGGTTCAGGACTTTGCAGGAGTCTCATTTATAAGAATATGTGAATGGAACTGCTGCTTAAAATGATAGAGGGTACAACAACTTACTGATGGCTCCATTCACGGTTTAAAGACCTACCTTGCTAACTGCTTCACAGAATCCTGTTATAGGTGATGAACACGCTTTATGATGTGGTGCCCTTCCTTCCCTGTGGGCACGATGCCATACAGGTACTTGGATGGTTAGGAGAAAACATGTTTTATTGAGTTGTTTTATAGCCACAGTGAATTTTGCATATCACTACAGATTTAAGAAATTAGGAAAAGGGTGAACAGGACACAGAAACATAGAAACATAGAATGTGACGGCAGATAAGAACCATTCGGCCCATCTAGTCTGCCAAATTTTCTAAATACTTTCATTAGTCCCTAGCCTTATCTTATAGTTAGGATAGCCTTATGCCTATCCCACGCATGCTTAAACTCCTTTACTGTGTTAACCTCTACCACTTCAGCTGGAAGGCTATTCCATGCATCCAGTGGTAGAGGTTAACACAGTAAAGGAGTTTAAGCATGCGTGGGATAGGCATAAGGCTATCCTAACTATAAGATAAGGCTAGGGACTAATGAAAGTATTTAGAAAATTGGGCAGACTAGATGGGCCGAATGGTTCTTATCTGCCGTCACATTCTATGTTTCTATGTTTCTCTGTCCTGTTCACCCTTTTCCTAATTTCTTAAATCTGTAGTGATATAAGAAATTAGGAAAAGGGTGAACAGGACAGAGATGCTCCTTGTACCATAATCTATGCAAGGCGCATGAGATGTTACTAAATTTGGGCATAACTTGAAATGTCAGGGTAGAATTGAATTAATTTGAGGGAAATCTGTTTGCAAATCTGTTTTATAAAAGAGCTTATGTTACACAGGTTTTGTCAGAAAGCAAAAGGATATTTGTTGATTCTTCCTGGTGAAATAGATTATAAATAAAAATTGATGTAAATCACTCTGACAAATTTACGTTTATTATGTAAATTCAATTTTTATTATTTTTACATCAGGTTATGGTTTAAAAAGTCACGTCCGAACACACACCGGTGAGAAGCCATACAGGTGTACAGAAGAAAATTGCACTAAATCTTTCAAAACATCGGGGGATCTGCAGAAACATATCCGAACACACACAGGTAGGAAAACTTTACACTCATATCTCTGTCTTCTCCAAACCTGCGATGTGTAATAAACCAGACACATTTCTCTGAAACATAAGCCAAAAGGAATTACCTGCACACTATCCTAAATCCCTATGCTCATTTAAACAGAAGGGTTTTTAATGGCCATTAAATTGTAAGCTCACCTGCCAAGTCAAGGCAAACCTCTTAGGTGAGTCCTACACTAACAATTCACCTTGCTGCCTTAAACTTAAATGCAAAAATCTCTGAGGCAGAATGGGATATACTTGTAAACCACTTATTAACCCTTAATAGGGAACACATGGGGTGGGTGGCAGCACTGTAACATGGCTTTGTAATACAGAAGCAAATACAAACATACAAACTTAAGCCAAACAAAAATGAACTCAAACACATTTAAAAACACTTTTTGGCATCAGAGGGAAATGATGAATCTGACTTTAACTGCAAGTAAACTGTCAGTACAGACAGCAGTTACAATAAACTGGGAGCAGAAATGGGTGAAATATGATTATCCATTGATTGGCACTGGCTATTTCAGCTGATCTTTTTCCATAAACTCCTGGCCCAACTTGTTCACCCTACTTGTTTTGTATGTTACTTTTACTAATTTGAGCAGACTAGGAGTCTGCAGAAATGTGACTGTGGAAATCTGGGAGAGATGTAGAAACACATGGGGAAATTTATCAAAATCTTGTAAAAAGTGTTGGTTAAATTCTGTCATTACTCTGGTCATATTATTAAAGTGATATAAAAAGGGATGTTTTTCTTTATAGTAAATTCCTCCAGTTTTTGCAGAAATATCCATTTCAGAAAACCACCAAATTTATAGTGGCAGAAAAAATCTGCAACTTTTTCAGGCAGCAAAGAACTATTCATAAATCTGTTGCCGCTGCAAAATTGAATTAAACATTAGATGGAAAGTGTTGAAAACACTTTGATAAATCTCCCCCACTGTCTCCCAGAGCTGCTGTAAGTGTTTGATATATGCATGAGATACAAAAATATATGTAGGGTTAGTCTAGCACGTACAACATGGAAAGGATCTAGGATTTACTTGAACCACCATTTTCTCTTTCTTACACTGGAATATTCTAGTCTTGGCCTGCAAGCGTGGAAATTTCTCCCTGCAATTTATTTTTAAGTGTTTTTTTTTATACCCAAATCTGTGTGAGTTTACAAACAATGGCAATAAATAGTAAGACTGATGTTTTAATTTTATTTGTATTTGTTTGCTTTTATAATCTAAAAAAATAATTTGTTTTGTTATTTGCACAAATTTGTTACATTATTAACCATAGCACCAGCATATAGATCAGAGTGATGCTCAAAGTTGTATTTTTGGAGTTTGCTAAATACACGAAGAATGAAACCAAAATAAAGTTTCAATTATTTGTTTTTAAATGTCAGTCCTGTCCACAGTGTTTGACTATAGCAGCCTGTGCTTTGAGACAAACCTTCGGTGCATCAGTTGTTTTCCAGTTATGTAAGACCTTCTGTTATTTTTTAAAATGTTTGTTCTTCGATACCGGTTTCACCACAACTCATTCATAGCTGGTCATTTTACTGAGCACTGTTCTGTTATGACAGATTGTTGCTACAGAAACAGTGTATTATATAATATTCTCCAGCAGGCAGCTGGATTTGGCACAGAGCATGAGTCTGTGTGTTTTGGGAGGGGTGTGAGCATTTTCCAGACATGGAGACTTAGAACAGGACATTTTGTTCTTTTGCTGAAGCACTCACTTTTACATGATATTTTTCCTAAAAAGTGTTTGAATCAGGTATGTAGCTCAATAAAAGCAACATAACACAATGTCCTTAAGGTTCCTCACCTAAAACCGGAACTACAATTCAGTAATTATTTTTAAACAGAGATGTGGATTCAATTTGCTGCCTGTAAATACATAGTAAATTCCTTTCCCACTCTCACCCTTTGCTTTTTTTTATCTAAAGTTTTGTTTGAAATAAAAAAATAAAATAACAATAATCTTCATTTTCATTTGGAAGATGTCTGCAAATGTACTAAAACAACAATTCTCATGAAACTCAGCCTGTTTGACATGATGCTCATACATACAGTCACGATCTAGTTTAATCTCTCCCATTTAGTAGTTATAAACTTCCATACATTTTTTTCCCTACAGCAGTACTTTTAAAAGAATTTCCTTAAAACAAAATCTTTATATTAGTGAAAGGGACACTCTAAAAACGAAAACAAGTTTAGCTTAAAGGAACACTATGTATTCTTAACACTTTAGTGTAAAACCAAATATTTAGGTACCCGGCCCCTCTCCGATCGCATGGGAAAGTTGAGTTCATTCACCTTTTTTTCCCCACACAGTGCCGGGCTTGCTGTGGCTGTCCCCACCTTTTTTGCTGAGATCATCCAAATTGAATCCAATGTTTTCCCATAGGAAAGCATTGGGGGTTATTGTGCCTCCATGACAAAATGGCATGCTGAGCCAATCAGCATCTCCTCATAGAGAGGCATTGAATCAATGCATCTCTATGAAGAGCATGGGTACCCTGAGCATAGGTACTTCCCACTGTGCAGCACTGGACTAGGAAGCACCTCTTGTAGCCATCTGCGTGACAGTCACTAGAGGTGTTACTAGGCAGCAATGTAAACACTGCCTTTTCTCTTAAAAAGCAGTGTTTACATTAAAATTCCTGCAGGGCATCAGGTTATAAACACCAGAACCGCTAAATAAAGCTGTAGTGGTTCTGGTGACTATATGGTCCCTTTAATGAAGTGGTTTTATTTATAGATCATGCCCCTGCAGTCTCACTGCTCAATTCTCTTTTCTCACTTTGTTTCTGCAGCCATAGTCACACCTCACACAGAGCAGGAGATAAGAACGTCTAAATTAAATACTATGTGCTGTAGGGAAAAATAGAATGTTTTCTGCCTAATTATTTTATTTCACTGTCCTCTGCTAAGTAAATGTTTCATAAATTAAATATTTTGTTTCTGCAGGAGAAAGACCATTTAAGTGCCCATTTGAAGGCTGTGGAAGGTCATTCACAACATCTAACATCCGAAAGGTTCACATACGGACGCACACGGGAGAAAGACCATACTACTGTTCAGAACCGGGCTGTGGCAGAGCTTTTGCCAGCGCAACGAACTATAAAAATCATGTACGGATACACACAGGTACTCCATCTTTATATGGTATTTAATTATGGGACAGCTTGGAAGTATTCAAAGAATGTGCTGTGTGAGCAATACCCTTCTAATTAATAAAAACACGCAGCTGTCCATTATGGCTGACGGCTCCAGGACACAATGAACTGTTCCTAACTAAATAATAAATAATTTCCAAATGGTTAGACCTGCGCACATCTCTATAATCAAGAATTTTTATTCCTGAGTGCTTTGGCTTGAATGAAGAGGAATATAAAAAACTGTCCTTTGCAAGATTAGTATGTGCATGTTATAATGTTTTGTGTATTAGCATCCTAACATGTTGTACTGGCTTGCATTATGTTGCTGTATGATGGCGTGCTTTTATTTATTTGTGTAGTTCATTTTACACCTGTTCTAGTTTCTATAGACTTACTTTGCCATTCTCTGAGAGGGCCCTACCATGTTTCCTTTTTTGCATTCTGACCATTCCCTCTGTCTCTCCAGGTGAGAAGCCTTATGTATGCACAGTACCAGGCTGCGATAAACGCTTCACTGAATATTCTAGTTTGTATAAGCACCATGTGGTCCATACACACTCGAAACCTTACAACTGCAACCACTGTGGGAAGACATACAAGCAGATCTCCACACTTGCAATGCACAAGCGAACAGCACACAATGACACAGAACCCATCGAGGAGGAGCCGGAGAGCTTTTTCGTTCCACAGCCACGTGAGTGACCACACTGCAAAGCAGATCTCTCACTTGTGTGTTTTTTTACACTTTATATTTGTCACTTGTGTGCTTTGCAGTTTAAATATTTCACTCGGGGGGAGGAGGAGTCCTTCAGAATCATCACCATTTGCACCTGCGCCTTTAGCTCCAGGAGGCCTCCTTGCCAGATTTCATGTCAATTGCTACCGCGAAATCCCTACTTTGTTAGAAGTATAAATTCTATCTATCTAGTGCAGTATACATTTTCTATTGAATAGTTATTCTATCTCAAAATGTAAACAATACAGTCAAAAAATAAAATGTAAAAATAATAATAAAAACTGTATATCTTCAATACAATAAGTTAAAATATATTTTAAAGCTGCTAAACACATAAAAGGTAATTCCCAAAACCTTTGAAAATCAGTGTCTAAGAAAAAAGTGTCAGCGCTAAAAAGTCTCCCTTATAATAACAATGTCTTTGATGATGTTGCAAAGTAAAAGTTTACTTTATATCCACAGTTCAATATTCCTTAAATGGATACCGGGAGTAGGGAGGATTAAAAAATATCAAAAAACACTTAGACAGTGTATGTGTGTGTGTGTGTGTGTATGTGTATATATATATATATATATATATATATATATATAAAATCAAAGTATATATTATTTAATTAAAAACGGTTATTGACTTTTATTTTAACTTTTTTCATCCAGCAGGGGGACTACCTGTAATCACAGGCACTCCCCCTGCTGACACTGCTGTGGACCTCGCGATCACATGGCCCAGGAGGGACAGAACGGCAACAGGGGGACTCCCTGGGATGACAGGTGATTCCCCCCACCGTGATCAGCGGGGACGTGCTATGCTGCCCGCCGTCCTTAAGGGGTTAAAGAAAACTAGAGCAGACAGGAAGAAACAGAGAACAGATCCTGAGAGAGGTAGAGAAGAGGAATAGATTAAAGAAAGAGAAGTTCGGTATTACAGTGCCACTTTAACAAACGTGTATCAGAGTATTGCTTATTGGCTAACACTATGGTGCTGGGTTTAAAACTGACCTGTCTGTGCCTGGATGCTTCATTTAAAGCAACAGCACCTCGGTGACACAAGATTTGATGTTTACCTTTAGGGCAGCTTGCATAGCCACTCATCACGCTTCACAACAAGTGTGAACTCTGGATTAACCAATTGTTATTAATACCAGGATCCCTGCTGGATGCAGTGCCCAGGTGCTGTCACAGAGGATTTGTCTGTTTAATTAATAAAGCACCTGTTGGGAGGAGACATAGCTTTTTATGTGCCAAGTCCACACAGCGATACAGCCATGCAGCGAACAGGCAGCTGTTCACCATTGTCTGACCCAAAAAGCATCCGTTAGCATTGTGTACACAGTATGAAACTGTACCTGGCATAGCTTTGCCATATTCACTCCTGACCGTTATATACAGAGTCTGAAACAATGAAATTGAACCTCCTTGTCCGGAACAGCTGCCAGGCTGGGAAATTAATGGATATTCCTGTTTATTTAGGACTTTCACTGTTTGACGGCTGCCATTCACAATATATAATTACAAATTGCTCCCTACTCACCTCATTACGTCAAACAGCAGCAAAATAATTTATTTTTCTATCATTAGGGCGAATTAAGCAAATTAATTAAAATCATTGGTGAGGGAAATTTTAATGAAAGCATTACAGGGAATTAATTGGGTGCGATATTTGAATGAAGGCAGTACATTGAGGGATATATAAAAAGCATTTCATTGGGGAGATATATTCAAATGAAGGCAGTACAGGGAGGGATATATAAATGGAGGCAGTACAAGCATTTCATTGGGGAGATATATTCAAATGAATTACATAATTGGAATTATTTGGGAACTGATATTTATCCAAACTTTTTTATTGGAAATTATGCAGAGTGTCAGCAGCAGTGTGGGTGTCTAGATGACCGATTCCATTTAAATAAGATAAAGAACAAAACAAAGCGCCATACGTTATGTATATCTGAAAGTGCGGAATCTTATTAGGCCAGAGAAGCCATTGTGCAGTAACCATGTGCCAGTTCAGCAAGGATAGAGCAGGGAGCATGAACAAGTTTCGCCTTTTGTTAAAATATAGGGGGTTTTTTTGTCCCCAAGCTGGGAAAAGAGAATGAGGTAGCATCCCCATCGAGACCCGTGTTCAAGTGCTCCACCCCTCCCTACCGTTAGAGTCTGACTTGGGGAGGAATATCTACCCTTGGTAAAGAGCTGCGCTGTCTGGTAATGTTGTTGTAACAAAGTGTGTGGATGAGCTGAAGATGAGCAGTTTCCCTAGCTTGTCCCCAGTCAGTAAAATAACTATATGAAGATGGAGCATGACCTTATATGCCAGACATTGCAGCAAGGTAACAGTAGAGGGCGCTAAAAAGTCCACCTTCCTGAAAGCACACGCAGCACATGGTGGATTTAAAGACACAAGCATCACCTAAAGACAACTCATTCAAAAGATTTAACTTTGAATTAGACAGTTGTCTCATACAGCAGGTAGTAAAAGCAAATAAATATGATTTATTAATTTTTTTCCTCCCTCATATTTACCTGCTTATTCTGCATTTTCCACACCCCCTCCTAGACAGCAGCCCTTTAACTGAAAATAGCTGAGTTTTCCTGCAGGTCCCAATAAAACCTTTCATTATAGTAAAATCACCATTCATTAACTTCAGCAACCTCAGTATGTACACAATGCCGTCATTGTGTAACTTCAATCTCAACAGCCTGTAATCTCTGGCCTTTCTAACCTTACTGAGAGCTAGACATTATCTCATTTATTATGTGCATTGTGGCTATTTGTTAACTAGTGGCTGGTTTTATTCTCTTACCTTTACATTGTGAAACACACAGGTGGTATGTTTCTCTCCTTTATAAGGTTATATAATGACCTGTTACAGGTGGGCTGATTATAATTAATATGTGTGCTCTGATCAGTACCTGTGTTATAATGTACTGTATGAGCCATCTCTGTAAGCTATTATTCACCTTTATATCCTCAATCCGCGGTTATTATGTTACGGTTATCACCCTCATAGTCTCCTACCATCACACCCTCCTATCTCAGACACGCACTCTCGCTCCCTCCTGTTTAGACACGCACTCTCGCTCCCTCCCATTTCAGACAACCACTCTCGCTCCCTCCCTTCTCAGACACCCACTCTCGCTCCCTCCCTTCTCAGACACCCACTCTCACTCCCTCCCATCTCAGACACCCACTCTTGCTCCCTCCCATCTCAGACACCCACTCTCGCTCCCTCCTGTTTAGACATGAACTCTCGCTCCCTCCCTTCTCAGACACCCACTCTCGCTCCATCCCATCTCAAACACGCATTCTCGCTCCCTCCCATCTCAGACACGCACTCTTGCTCCCTCCCATCTCAGACACGCACTCTTGCTCCCTCCCGTCTCAGACACGCACTCTTGCTCCCTCCCGTCTCAGACACGCACTCTTGCTCCCTCCCGTCTCAGACACGCACTCTTGCTCCCTCCCATCTCAGACACGCACTCTTGCTCCCTCCCATCTCAGACACGCACTCTTGCTCCCTCCCATCTCAGACACGCACTCTTGCTCCCTCCCATCTCAGACACGCACTCTCGCTCCCTCCCATATCAGACACGCACTCTCGCTCCCTCCCATATCAGACACGCACTCTCGCTCCTTCCCATATCAGACACGCACTCTCGCTCCTTCCCATATCAGACACGCACTCTCGCTCCTTCCCATCTCAGACACCCACTCTCGCTCCTTCCCATCTCAGACACCCACTCTCGCTCCTTCCCATCTCAGACACCCACTCTCGCTCCCTCCCATCTCAGACACCCACTCTCGCTCTCTGCCGTTTAGACCTGCACTTTTGCTTCTTCACGTCCTTGGAGAAGGGACGAGACAGGGGGGGATATGATCGAAACATTTAAATACATAAAGGGAATCAATACAGTAAAGGAGGATACTATATTTAAAAGAAGAAAAACTACCACAACAAGAGGATATAGTCTTAAATTAGAGGGGCAAAGGTTTAAAAATAATATCAGGAAGTATTACTTTACTGAGAAGGTAGTGGATGCATGGAATAGCCTTCCAGATGACGTGGTAGAGGTTAACACAGTAAAGGAGTTTAAGCATGCGTGTGATAGGCATAAGGCTATCCTAACTATAAGATAGGGCCAGGGACTAATGAGAGTATTTAGAAAATAGGGCAGACTAGATGGGCCGAATGGTTCTTATCTGCCGTCACATTCTATGTTTCTATGCATGCCCCCTGAAATCAGAGACATTCTCGCGTTCTCCCATCTCAGACACGCACTCTTGCTCTCTGACGTTTAGACCTGCACTTTTGCTTCCTCCCGTCACATGCATGCCCCTGCAATCAGAGACAGGCAATCTCGCTCTCTCCCATCTCAGACACACACTCTCGCTCCCTCCTGTTTAGACATGCACTCTCGCTCTCTCCCATCTCAGACACGCACTCTCGCTCTCTCCCATCTCAGACACGCACTCTCGCTCCCTCCTGTGAAAGACATGCACTCTCGACCCCTGCTGCCACACACACACTTGCCCCCTGCGGTCTCATGATTATTTACTAAACCAAAAATTGTGGTGAATTGGCCTAGATTGCCAATTTTAGGTCAAAATATTTCAGCTGGAAAAATAGACATTTTGGATACTTTTTTGAGTTCAACGATTTCCCCAACAATTCCAGTTTAGTTAATGATCCTTAACCTTCCTTTCCTTAATGTATTGTTAGTTGGAGGAGAAGGAGATTGCTGCACAGAGCAGACTGAACATAGAAAGTGAATGTCCTGACTTTACAAGTGAATTGATACAGCTATAGAAACTAGGTTTTTATGTTGTGGTTTCAGACCATTTGCATTTTCTTTGTTGTTGGTTCCATTAAACTCACTGTGTTAGAATGCTCGTTTAGATGCTTATCATGAGGAGCAATGTTTTTGGATAACTAAAGGACAAGTTTGTAATGTTTGCCTTTTAGTAATCCTCAATCAATGCAAATAACAGCTAGATAAAGCAGAATGTTTTAGGATCTGTCTGGGCTTAAAGGCTTATGGATAAACCACAGTCAGCAAGTTTATATTAACCAATTCTTTCTTCATCTAAACGCTGTCAACTAAAGGGACAGGTTCTCCATATCTGTGTGAGCATTCCACTCTGCTCCTTGCATGTAGTGTTAACAGCATGTCCTGTAAACTGATTCTCTCGTTCCTCCTAGAGATTGGTTTTATTGCTACTGCCATGCCATTAGACAGTAGCTGTTTGTGTCTTGTGACCCATACATGTTGCATTATGATTATATTTCATTGTGACTCTTGTCTAATCTAGTCCTTTATCTGGCACAATCGGTCTCTAAAGCCTGTGGTTCACACTCCTGATCCTCTACAATAAGATTGCCTGCCAGCTCTAATGATGACAACATTTCTGACTAAGCGTGACATTTAGGGAATATGTATTAACATGGAAACAGCTATCCTGTATGCTGTGCCAAGCAAATGTGACTGCAGCATTGTCACTTATCGCATCAGGAATCTAGATGCTATAATTTCCCACCAGTGGTACAGTCAACCCTGCATTCATTCCCTGCCCTAATGAACAATCTGTTTTATTGATTTGCACTTGTAATGAAGACATATCTGCACAAGCAATAATGCAGCTTGCAGTGTGTGTCTTGCTTCTGATTCCCTGCATTGTTTATTATTACAGCTGATGATGTCCTGAAAGGTCCTCAGATCACTTACGTCACAGGTGTGGAAACAGAGGATGGACTCCCAGCAGCGGTAACTCAGTCTGGACAACAGCTAGCACTTATTGCCCAAGATGGGACACAACACGTGAGTAATTCTGCAATCTCAATCAGTTGGCAATTCTTTAACACATTAAAGTAAAGTATAGCAGATGCCAAATGACATTCTGGGACAAATTACACAATGGAACATAGATAAGGGAAATTGCTTAGAAAAAAAACAGCATGCACAAAAATAAACCACCATCATCAGGGATGCCGGGGCATGTTTGATATGTGCAACCAGTAGTATAGATACAAATCTACTTCATTTGATTTCTAGAGATAGAACACTGAAGGGTTAGATAGTTAATATATGCTGCTTTAGTCTGTGTTCCCTGGGATCTTTTTTGAGCAGGGGCCATATACATTGATTGCATCAGTTTCTGGGTCCAATAATGTAACAATTCACTCAGTGGCCATTTCTTTTCTCACACAGGTGGCAATAGTTGCTCAAGACCTATCTGCCTTCCACACAGCATCTGCTGAGCTCAGCCATTCACAACACAGCCACCACTTAGTGACCTCAGAAAGCAGGCCAGTAACCTTACTGGCCACATCAAACGGAACACAAATTGCAGTGCAGGTAAGTCGGTGCATGTTAATGCATTATTTTAAAAGTGCAGGGTTTTCTCTTTAGAGAAAGAATTACATTTTTTTCCCCTCTTTTTTTTCCCTTCAGCTTGGTGAGCAGCAATCATTGGAGGAAGCCATCAGGTTAGCGTCGAGGATACAACAAGGTGAATCTCCAGGCATGGAAGATTAACCGTCTGTAGTGCAATATGCTAGTTACTTGTGTTATATCTTATATTAGCAAAACTCTGCCAGTTACAGCAGTTGCTTACTCTGAGGTCAAGCTCCGGCTCTGCAATATGGTGTGTAGAACGGACCATTATTCTGGTGACAGCTCGGACAGGTGAATTAAGAGCATTTGCACAGTCTGCCTGTACAATAAATACACGAGTGACCACGGCAAATATTGAGAATTGTACAGAAACGACAATTTCCAGGAAATTGAACTTTAAGGGAAAACAAGGGACATTGCCAGTATTTGCTGCATTTTTTTGACAGATCCTTCATTGAAGATGGGTATTTGGGAGAAAGAAAAAAAATACTTTTTTTTTTTGGCCTTCACAATTACCTCCCACAGGCTGACCTATCCTGGTGTATTCTTTGTAAATGAAGATTGCTACTGCTGAGAGGGTTAATCCTATTTTATCTTTCAATTCGATTATGTAAACACATAAAAAAGGAAAAAACAAAAAAAAACACTCAAATGCTGGTTAGCCTGGTTGTGAAATATTAAATAAACAGAAATGTTTCCTCCTCTGTAATTTCTGTATAGAATTTGTGTATGAATTGTGTCTTTATAGGAAATATTGAATTATTTGGAGTTTGCATACATGCCTTTTTATGCCTGTATAATCTGTAATGTAAACATTTCATTCTATGCCATATGAAGGAATATTCACAGGCTTTCGTTTGGAAAAGAACACTGGCAATATTAATTGGCATGTGGTTTAGTTTACAGAAACTGCAATGACCACGGATATAAAATAATTATCAAACAGGAGCAAATCTATTAAAAATAATCTTTTTCATCTCATTATTACCTGCGTTTTGTCAGTTCCCGTGTAAAAGAGTTATTTGAAGCAGCAAAGTTAGATCTGTCAGAAAATTGCTCTCCCTCGCAATGTCTAACCTGCTGATTGGGTCTAACAAACAGCAGCAATATGTAAATCAGACCTACGACTTTATTAACACAGAGGGGATTACTCCCTAAATCAAATGAAAATCTAAATTCCAAAACAAGGCTAAAATAGCCACGATGGCAAATTAGTCAATCTGGTTCATTTTTCTCTACTCTGCTCTTGAGTTACATTTACATCTAATTCCGTTTTCATTTCACCACTATTCACTGTTTAGTGGATAAACCCTTGAATTTCTAAATGCTGTCTGTTGACCTTATTTTTTTGTAAATGTTACTTTGATGGCCTGTTCTATCTTGGGAAAATCAAGTTTTCAAGAGTTGCTCCAACCTAAAAGTGTTTTAATAAACTACTGTTTTTGGTTGGAGTAAACCTTGCTAGCATGCCCCTCCTTAAAAAAATAAAATAGTAATGCAAAAATGTACCACTTTTCTCCTGTAGCCCTTTTTCCCCTCACTGTGGGGGATGAACGAACTGAAAGAGGACTTAGACTATAGTGGGGGTGGGGAGGGGGGGTTTGGTGTGCTACCATTGGTCGTCTGTTGCCAGTGTGCCACGTGTGCCAACAACAGACACAAAATATATGCGCACTTCCTACAGACTCCAAGCAGGACAACCAGTTTAAATCACTGAAGCAGCCATGATGTTTGGAGTAACCTTTTAAAAAGCAGACTCATAACATGTTATATTTAAATGAATGATCCATTGGTTTTTATTTTTATTTTACATAGCTTATTCCCTCACAAAGAAATAAAACAGGCCAAATTCATATTTATCAATTAATTTTAAACAAAATCTGTCCCTACATAAACTTTATCTGTCTCCGCAAACTGTCTCCAGATAGTGTGTTCAGTTTTGTTTGTGGTGGCTCAGCGGTTTTTAATGCATATTTATAATAAACTCCTATTTCTGCCTTCCTGCTCTCTTGATGTTTTCCTCTACCCAACGCCTGCACTCTTTATAAACTATATAGGTAAAAAAATAAATAAAACCAAAATAAGACAGATGCATGCTGGGAATTGCAAAATGATGGGAGAGCTTTAACCAACAGACCAGCATGGCTGTAAAGATGTATAAAACTCCTGACTGCTGGCCTTAGTTAACAAATAGACTGAATTTGATGCTTTAGTGATGCAGACATTTTGCAGGAAAAATCAAAACCCTAAATAAATACCCATTATGAAATCCAGTGTTCATTTTCAAATACCAGGTTTGGTCGATATTGCAGAATAAATCTTAAACTGACACTCTGGTGTGTCCATATACAGTGTTTTATTTGTAAAAATAAATAAATAAATATGCAATAACGTTTTGGTTGGGTTTTTGTTTGTTTTTTAACAATGTTTTCAGGTGTAAATATTTTTTACATTCCAATATTTTCTTTGTGTAGTGTTCCTCAGGTTTGACATGTAAATATCTGTAGATTAATAATAAAAATGAAAAAAATCTTTAAGTGCTTTTGTCTTACTTGTTACGTAACTTATATTTTCTTGTTTGATAGAATCTATTATTTAATTGTGTGTGGTCTTTCCACAATTCCCAAATGCAGATTGTATGAACCCCTGATGTCAAATAATACATCTCTGATCTGTTTGATGACCGGGGAAACCTTTTTATCATTAATTGTACCAGCTGTGCAGCCCTGGTTACTATTTTTATTTATATTTAATGCGCCACCCTGCCTGATGAGCTTGTTTTATTATATGTTTTGTGGTTAATGATTGTGCTAATTACCCTGTCTCAAAGCTGTGGCGGGAGGTTTGTGGGTTAATCCAGTGCATTTTGTAGGATTTCAAATTCTGCATGAGCAATTTAGTAATTTTTTTCCATATTTATTGCCCTCATTTTTTTCACTTGCTGCAAAACTAGAGAAGAACTTCAAATGTTCCACTTATTCTTCCCAACTATATACGTTTTAAAATACAAGGCACAAAATCACCTTTTTTCAAGTTTCAGTATTGACGTAAATAGAGTTCCTTTTTTTAAATTTTGTGACTGCCCTAAATTACTTCACCAACGCTGTATGATTGCTGTATTCGTGGCTTATTTTAAAGGTCCAATGTTTTTGCTGCCTCACTTGTAAATACATTGTTTGATTTTCGTAGTTTAGGAGGATGAGCTAATGGGATGTGAGTCACTCAGTCGCTATAGTCTCCACATTCCTATAGAATTAGCGAACGAACTCCTCCTGTGCTTGTGTGTGTTTTCAGGGGGCAAAGGTTAAGTGACTTCACCCAGCAGATCCACGGGAAACCAGAAATAGGCTGAAAGCTCACGGCTTCTTTTTTAGTAAGTGGCCTTTTAAGGTGCCTTGACAAGTCATCATGACAACACCCATCAAAACTGCTGACTATGCAGCCCTAATCCATAAACTCAGACAAAGGCCTGGTACAAGGAGCCTTAATAGACTGGCTGCTTATTAAAGAGTTAAACATATTGTAACAAACAAAAGGTGAATCTGTTGTGTCCATAAAAAAACTAAATGGGTTTTGAGCAAAATAAACAAAGCAAAGAATAATGTAAATCAATAATTTATCCTATAAGCATTAATTTAATTAAACCTAATCAATGAACTAATATTCTGCCTCCTTATCAATAAATTAGAATGACTGCCCCTTCCTGTGCTCCTAATGTTATTATTTATAGAGTCTGTAAACAAATCAAAATTAAATACATTGTGACAAACGAGATTAACAAGTGAATCGAGGGAACGTGGGCAATAATAACCCAGTAGAGAATCAGCCATGTGTGGTGGTGGAAAGAGAGAATACTGGTCTAACAACAAACTTTAAATGTGCGCAATGCAGCGGTGTAGTGACTCTAGTTAGAGGGACACAGACTGTAGGCTGAGACGGCGACAAAGGAATTATCCACAAATTAAAAAGGAGGATTTAGCTTTTTCTAGAGGGAAATCCTGATGGGGCTGGGAAGGACGTTCCATCAGAGCGGCGCTGATATAACAGAGTTGGAGCAGGGTGTGAAATAGAGGGAAAAGGAAGGTCACTGGCAAAGTCAACTATTGTGGGTGAAGTTTAGGATTTTGCATATGAGTTGAAAAGATACAGAAAGTCTGTTTAAATGTTCAGATTTAGGGGAACTGAACTTCACGAAGCTGGTGGAGGGCAAATAGTGACATGATCCAGGAGGAATGGGGACAGACGGGAAGGAAGGTTATATCTGTGTTATCAACATATAGATTTATATATTTAACAATTCTTATATCATTATTATCTAGACTGCTTTATTGAACAATAATTGAAGATTATGACAGCTTTTAGTATACCTATAATAAGTTAATTATTTTGGTGAATATTTTGCTATGAATTCTCTTTACTGACTCTATTAGCAGCACTAATCAGAAAGAAAAAAAGGTAAACCAATCAAAAACAAGTAGGGGGTAAAATAAGAGCATGTTTCTAACAGCACCTCCTATTTCTTTGGTGTGTAAAATAACCTTGACAGAACAGAAACAAAACTGAAAACACAACAATGAACAAGTGATCAAATCACAGGAACGAAGAAGCAACTACCAAACTCCTGGGGGGCACACCGAAATCCAGGATTTAGCTAAAATGAAAAGGAAAATGTGAAATGTATCTCAGAATGAAAACATTGCAACAGTATATAACGTGACATACACATACATAACCAATCATCAGTGGCATCAATATTAGCAACACAGTCAAAACTGATGAACAGCATGAATGGAAAAACATTATGTGTAGAATAGAAATTTAAACAAATTTCAAGATACGACAACGAAAAGAAATCACAGCAAAAGAAATCCAGCCGAGGTTATAGGTATACTAAAAGCTAGCATAATATTTTACTACATGACAGGAGGCTTTATATTTTTATTTTTTTAAAACTCTATATATTTTTTTGAGTCAAGGAAAAATAATAAAGAAGCATATCGTAGGAGATACAGAATAGAAGTTTGGTTAGAGGCATATGGTAAAAAGTACAATTAGAACAATAAGTAGTGGAACAGTATTCACGTAACCCAGTGTGTTGCAGTATGCTAGGTGGGAGTACGCATACATTTTGGATGTTCAAG